CACCCTACGGGTGCCATCCCCATGTCCCCCCCATTCCCACGGCCCCACCCCGGGTTGCTGCTGACGCCGGGGTCAGGGCTCGGGTGCTCCCGGCTAAGTATGGCCAGTGCCGGGGAGCATCCCTGAGTCACCGCGGGAGCTGGGGGGGGGGCCGGGGAGGCCCTGGGCCTGACTCACTGCCGCCGCCAGCCCCTATATAGCCTGGGCCGACGGCGGGGCCACGTCACCCCCAGCCCCCCCCGGCTGGGACAGCGCCTGGGGCTGCGGGGGGGGCCCAGGGGCAGCCATGGTGGGGGACCCTCATGGGTTTTGGCGGGGGGACACACGTAGGGTGACACCGGGGTACCCTGATGGGTGGGGGGCTGCACTCGCCAGTGACAGCGGGGCAGACCCAGGGGTGGGGGTACGGGTGAGACACCCAGGGTGCCCGTCGGGTGCCCGGCCTCAGTTTCCCCGGGTGGGGGGGCGCGGGCGCTGGCTCAGTGCCCCGGGGGCTGGCGAGGAGCCCGGGGACGGGCGCGGATGCGGCCCCGCGCGCCGGCTGCTTCCCAAAAAGGCGCTGGCGGCCGCAGGCGTTGGGGAGCCGGGCACCCGGCCAGCCCCGGGGGGCCCCTGTGCTGGGGTTGGGGTGGGGGGGGGCAGGCAGGACAGGGCAGAGGCATGGGCAGGGACACGGGGCAAAGGTGGCACTGCTGTGGCTGACACACACGTGTGTGCTCGTGGCACCGCTGGCCCTGCCGTGGGTACGGCAGGGCTGGGGAGGGGTGTGCACATGCGTGTGTAAGCGTGTGCATGCTCCTGGGTAGCGCCTGGGGAGGTCTGGGGGTGGGAACATGGGAACTCACACATGGTATGCACACGCCTTTACACATGTGCACTCCCACCACATGTGTGTGTGCTCACACACGCCTCCACCAGCCCCTGCCCTGTGGTCAGGGGGACACACATGACCCCCCCTTGGGTCTCACCCCCCTTTGGGTCAGCCCCCCCGGGAAGGGCAGGGGCTGGCTGGGGCCACAGGGACCATTTCACCCCCACCTCATTTTTGGCCAGCTGTCCCCTGCCTCCCAGGCAGCATGGGGACATCCCCACCCCCCCAAAAGGCTCCCACCCCCTTTTTGACCCTTTTCAGCACCCCAATATTGGGTAAAACACCCTGTAACATGGCTGTGATAACCCGGAATCAAGCACAGGGCGTTTTGAGGCCAGAAACAGCAGTTTTAGTGCTCGAGCGGAGAGGTGGGGGCCGGACGCTGCCCAGCCCTCCTCACCGGGCCCCGCTGTTTCTGGGCATTTGTTGTTTTTCCGCCTAATTTCCTGCCTTAAGGAGTCCCGCTCACCCTGCGGAGCCTGGCTGCCGGAGGAGCTGGGGCCAAGCCCTGGAGGTGCCCACTCTGGGGCAGGATCTGTCCCCGAGGGGGTAGCGAGAGCCAAATCTCGGCAGGAAGGAGGGATCCCAATGAGCTGCAGAGATAAAAAGCAAAAGGTGTAAAAAAAAAGAAGCCTCAAAAGGGCTTCACAGGGAGGGATTCCTGCTGGGGCATCCCCCCTCCCCGGGGCTGGGGTGCTGCTGGGGAGCAGGGGGGGGAATGCTGAGGGGATGGGGCTTCTCTGAACCCCCCAACCGTGGCTCCCACCTGGCGACTCCAAAGCCCCTGGCGAGCCTGGGCCTTGGTGCTGCCATTTGCCTGCGACCGCCAGACGCTCGCCGGTTCCTGCCCTCTTCCTTTTCCTGCCGCTTTCAGACGCAGTTTGACAGTAAATGCTGTTTTTTTTTGTGTGTGTCCATCCCCCCCCCAGTAGATACCAGTCGGAGAACGATGCTGGGTGCTGAATCACAGCAGGGGAACAACGTGGGTTAAGATGAGGGGAATTTTTTCCTGGGAATTGTGTTGGGGAACTGGTGCGGCTGGGGCTGCTCAGGCAGAGCCGGTACTCACAGCTCCGCATCTCCACGTGGCGCTGGTCACCCCTGCCTGTACTGGGGGGGGTCTCGGCAGGAATCTCCGGGGCTGCAGGAGCCGTGCGAGGGTGGGGGCACACAGGGTGTTTCATCACTGCACAGAACAGAATGGGGAGAAGCGGTTAAAGCACGTGGGGCAAGGCCAAAAAGGCATAAAATCTCCCCAAAACCGTAGCGGGGAGAAGCCAGGTGACACGGTGGGACCGTCCTGGAAGGGGGGAGCAGGGTGGGAGCCAGGAACTGCCATTCCTGAAGCGCGGCTGTGCCACGGCAGGGCTCGCCCGCTCCGCAGTGGCGGCTGGACGCCGCAGGGGATGATGAAGGTGACACATATCTGCGCCACTACCAAAAAAAGCCCAACTCTCCCTCCCCACCTCCTCGCGTCCCCGTCGCGGGGAAAACCCGATGGCTTCCACCGAGGAGCAGTGCGAGGGGGGCTCCCACTCTCTGGGATCCATGACTGCTCTCGACGAGAGGAAAATAATGGCAAAATAGGTGGAAAAAGGGGGGAAACGCCTGTCGTTTCCCATCCGGCTCATGGATGAAAATAAGCCAGCCCTCCAACCTACCCGGCTGGATCCACCCTCCGAGCAAAAACTCCCGGCAAGTGTTGCAAGGCCGTTATTGGCACGGTTCGAAGCACACATGAAACTGCTCTGGAAACCACAGGGGAGAGATGTCAGGCAGAGCCGAAGCAGTCAGACGCTTTTAAACAAGCGAGGCAACAAAGCTGGAGAAATTCCTCCTTAACCCTTACGGAGCAGGCAGGGATTCGGATGGCTTTCCACCTGCGGGCAGAGCAGGCAGCGCAAGGGGAAAACATTCCCGCTCTTCGGCGAGGGGAAGCAGGCACCGCTGCGGAAGCACCAGCTCTGCACAGGGATGGGATTTGCGGCCGGGGAGGATGCACGGGCGAAAGCCTTCTGCTGAGATAAACCCAGGCAGGCGGGCGCGTCTTGATTCTCCGTGCTGAGCTGTGGGGGGATAAAAAAACCCTCCCTAAACTCAATAAATGGGTTTAAAACATGTCTGGGGGGTGAAGAAAAAAAAAAAAAGGCAGCCTCGGGCAAAGGTTAGCGCTTGGCAGGTTAAAGCCTGAGGAAGGAGCGGCCGCTGCTAGACGATTCAGTGTTCAGCCTCAGGACTGGAGATGGAGGGAGGAAAAGCGTCTCCCAGATGGGCCGAGCCCAGGATGTGCGGCTCCTGCCAGATGTACGTTAACGGGAGTTATTAGTCGCATAAAAACCGCTCTGCAGCTGCATTTCTGGCACTGGTGAGGGAGGAATTAATTGCAACACCAGATCACTCCTCCTCTGCCCGGCCAGGAGGGACCAGCGTGACCCCACCCGCGCGCTCCCCCCCACCAGCCGGGGAAAGATATATATCTGACCGCCCCGTGAACTGCTGGAAAAAAGAAAAAAAGAAGCAGGTTTTCCCCCCCAAACTCAGCCCTGCGGGGTCCCTGCCGCCTGCCTTGGATGACGGGGTGTTGGAGGAGGCTGGGGAGCGAGCGGCGGCGGCGGGGCGGGCAGGGAGCCCGGCCGGGAAAAGCGGCGTGACACATGCATTCCCATTTCCACACATACCGCCCCAAATCTGTCGCCTCCTCCAAGCTCTCCTCACCTCCCGGCGTGGCGGGGGCTCCGTGGGGTCCCCAGCACCCAGAGATATCCCACTGGAAGAAGGGGGGAAGGAATTGGGGGGGGGGGGGATGTGGAGGATTGGGGGAATCCCCTGTTCCCAGGGTGACGCTGGTGTTGAGCACAGTCTGGGTGTGATGGGTGTGTCACCGCCAGGCTGGCAGTGGGGGGGGGACAACACATCTTTTGGAGGACTGCATGGGGCGGGGGGGTTAATGAGGTTTCCCCAGCTGGCCCCCCCTCCTTGGGCGGGGAACCCAGGGCCTGATGCCCCAGGGACGCAGCCTGAGCACGAGGCACCCGCATTGCGCAAAGGCACTAAAATAGCACCCCCCGCAGCCCAAAATCCAGGCAGGCCCTGCCTGGTAACGCCTGTTTCAGTGGGAGATGGACTGGGGTGGGGATCTGGTGCCCTGGGTGAGTAGCAGCCCCCCAGCACTGGGACCAGAGTGGGGGTTGGGGTCACCTTGAGCTTGTTCAGTCCCAGTCATCCTCTTTGTCGCTGTCCCCCCCAGAGCCCAAGATTAGGGGTGGTTGGGGACAGGGTGAGGGGGACAGTGGGGCGCTGGGGGCCTGGGGGGACAGGGACACGCTGGAGGGGGACAGGGCACAGGCAGGCAGGGGGGTTACGGGGACACGCTGTGGTGATACAGGGAGACACTGGGGGGGGGCGACAGGGACACGGGGTGGCCCAGGGGGTTATGGGGATACACTGGAGGGGGTGACAGGGATATGGCCTGGCCCAGGGGTTACAAGGACACTCTGGGTGCGTTATGGGGACACAGACAGGCCTGGGGGGGGTGACAGCCTGCTGTGCACTGGAGCTGTTGTCCTCCGCCTCCCCCCATGGTGCTAGAGCCCCCTTGGAGTGGGGCTACAGACCCTGGCCCCACTCGCCAGTGCCACAAGGGGCAGGCAGCGCAGAGAGTGCTGGGAGGGCAGCAAGGGGAGTGTGGGGGGAGCAGGGCAGGCTGAGAGCCCTGCCAAGGGGAGCAGGGCAGGCTGGGGCCCCGATGTGCCCACACCGGAGGTCCCCTGGGGTCCCTGTGCCCAGAGTGCCCCCATCCCCAAGTCACACAGTTCCACTGGGTCCCCATCCCATGGGTGCCCCCAGTGTCCGTCCCATCGGGTGGCCCAGTCCCCACCCTACAAGGTCCCTTCTGTCCCCCCCCCCAGGGTGACAGGACACCACACACACTCACAGGCAGCTAATTTGTAACATGCATTTAAAACCTGTGGGTACGATCACTCCCCGCAGCAGCAGCAGCCGAAGGGGCACAGCCCCCCCCGGCACAGTGGTCCCCTCAGTCCTGGGGGAGAGACGGGCACTGCCCTGGTCCTGCCGCCACTGTCTGCAGTCCCTCCTGTGACCACCGCTCCGCACCCGCCGCAGGGCGTCCTGTGGCTCCCCTGCCTTGGCTCCAGCTTGTGGGTGCTGCCGGGGCAGAGCTGGGGGACAAGAGAGGACCAGGGGTGTCGGTGCGGGCAGCACCCCGCAGGGGGGACATCCAAATGTGGGCACCCAGGGAGGGGATGTCCCCGGCCCTGCGGGCTCCTACCTGTCGCATGGGAGGAGCAGGTTATTCTCCCTGATGTTGAAGACGAACGGCGGGCGATCCTCCAGGTCCTCCAGCTCTTAAAGGGTGATGAGATGAGGATGTGCCAGCCTTGGGGTGACACGGCAAGCGGGGGAGGAGCGCTGCTTGGCACCCTGCGGACACTCACCAGCATCCCAGTCCTCCTGGCACGGCGGGGGCTGCCAGGCCGTGGGGACCTCCGGTTGCTTCATCTTCTTGCCAAGGGACCTGTCCATCTCTGTGCGGACAGAGGGAACAGCTCGGGGGTGGAGGGCACAGCTCAGCACAGCCACAGGGGTGGTGAGGGGTGGGGGGCCATGCTGTACCGTGGGGGAGGTCGGTCTGGTGCTTGTCAGGGCAGGAGGCGATGTGGCTCTGCAGCTTGCCCTGGGACACCCTGTGCCTGGCGTTGAATGGGCAGGTGGCCAGCGTGCGGGCCACCT